GCACTGGCACTAGCACTGGCACTGGCACTGGCACTGGCACTGGCACTAGCACTGGCACTGGCACTGGCACTGGCACCGGCACTGGCACCGGCACCTGCACGGGCACTGGCACTGGCACTGGAACTGCAACTGCAACTGCGACTGCAATTGGCACTGTACTGGCACTGTATTGGCACTGGCACTGGCAGTGACACTGTAACTGCAACTGCAACTGGCACTGGCACTGGCACTGGCACTGCAACTGCAACTGCAACTACAACTGCAACTGGCACTGGTACTGGCACTGGCACTAGCACTGGCACTGGCACCGGCACTGGCACCGGCACTGGCACCGACACTGGAACTGGAATTGGCACTGGCACTGGCACTGGCACTGGAACAGCAACTGCAACTGGCACTGTACTGGCAGTGGCACTGGAACTGGACCTGGCACTGAAACTGCAACTGGCACTGTACTGGAACTGCAACTGCAACTGCCACTGGCAAAGTACTGGGACTGTACTAGCACTGGCTACTGCTACTGCTACTGCTACTGCTACTGCTACTGCCCGAACCCTATTCTATAACCACACTCCTTTTACATCTACTGTTAGGCCACCATACTGCTACTGCTGCTACTAACTTACGATCATACTCCTCTCGCAATTACTTCTTCTGCTACTATTACTGACGTTAGTAGTGACGCTGCTACTGCTTCTACTAACGGAACCACTGCTACTACATATACTGCTACTGTCAATACTACCACACACTCTCACTCCCATTTCAGTAATACCGACTCTGCTACTGCTACTACTGCCTATACCAATGTCACCGTTACAATATACCTTTAATTACAGTACTTTCTTAATTTTACTAAAGCTGCTTTTGGCAAAGACACTGGCACCTCCAACTACTAATACCACCCCTTGCTACTGACCCTACTGCTGCTACTACTTTTGCCAATACTGTTGCTACTACAGTTGAACGTTGCTATTTCGAACTCTCAGGGGAAAGGAAAAATAGTTCGAAATAGCGGGAGTTCGAAAGAGCCGATTAAAAAAGAAAGAAGGGCAAATCCAAGTGAAAGAATTTTTAGTCCGAAATACCAGTAAGTCCGAAATAACTAACTTCGAAATAAGGGGATCCCACTGTATTACTTTCGCTACAGCTTGCTAACTCTGCTAGTTCTGCTTCCATCACTGCCAATGACGTAAAAGCCAAACATAAGAAGATTCTTACGTGGTTGACGGCTTTGCATGAGTGGAATGCGCAAAAAGATCTCACTGGGACCTTCATATCTCTTTTGCTGTTCTTGTGCTATCCAGGATGGTTTGCTTGGTTGTGCGTAACCAATAAGAGAAAAGGAACCTCGAAAGTCTGTCAGAATAGGATCCACGGCACCCAGCCTCTTAAGGGCACCAAAAGCAGGCGAAATGTAGGTTGATCCTGCATCTTGAATGGCCACCAAAACGATTTTACTGCAGGGAATTAGGGTGGATTCTTTACTAAGGATTATTGAATTATTTTGATTAAGACCTAAAGAAAGTTCTCGTATAAAATTATGTCCTCAACCATCTCATCAAATTCCTTCCTCGTTACTCGGCAGTTGCGTTTTTTGTTCACTCGTAAGTTTTTTTCACGCGAATGTGCATAACTATCATGAAAGCTACTGGTGGCACCGAGTAAAAGCGAAAATATTTATGTCGTTACATT